CACCACCCCGCCAACCCAGCACACAAATAGGACTTCGCCACTAACTCTAAAGCTACACGCAGTAAATTGTTTGTTTTGTGGTAAAGGAAATCTTATTTGTACAAAAACTTGATAATTCTATCACAAGCATCTATAAAAACAGGAATGGCTAACTTAGGGATTATCCTATTGATCTTTTAAAAAGACGCAACTAAAAAAATATGGGTCCCCACTCTAAACAATATGCAATGACATTTCTTCTATCAACTTCAAGGAGGTACAGGATTATAAGAGAGGCACGTTTATTTCTCTTTCTTTTGTAATGTTCTCTGGGAATCAAGGTATTCGAAAGGGAAACACAAACAAGAAGAGGCATTCATAAAGCAGGTAAACTTACCCCGCCTGACAACTTAATCACCCTGACTTTGGAGCTGATGTGAGGCCCGTCTCCACTACCACTGTTTGCCCGCTGCATGACTGTCCTTTTCACTCCAGGTTTGACTTCCTGGGGCCGGCCTTGGACAGAAGCCACTCTGGCAGTCTGTGGTGAGGGTGGCAATTCCTCTACGTCAGCAGGTTTCACTTGGAGTACCTTGAGAGACGGCGGAGTTTGACTTTGAGGTACTGTTCTGGCCTGTCTCAAATGTTTCAGTGGTTTGAGCTGTTGTCCTTGATACGGCATATTAGCACCAGATGGTACAAAACTTGGTGTTTTGGGCTGAACATTTGAAACTGTAACATCTTGGTTTTTAACCAGAAGTCTGTTTTTCACATTTTGTCTGACCTGTGCACCTGGAAAGGGTAACAGTGGGTTACCGTTGGTGGGTGAAGGTGATGATGCTCGTTCTTCTTGCTCTGCTACTGGGAGTTGGGGGGTGTAAAGCTGCTGCTGCTGCTGCTGCTGCTGCTGGGCAAGTCTCTCAAGTAACTCCTTCTTTCGCGCACCAGCCTGCTGCTGCCGTCGTAACTCTTTCTGTTTCAGGATTTCTTCTCTAAGCCGTTTCTGTTCTTCTATCTTTAAACGATACAGCCTTGTTTCTTCATCCTCATCAGGAAACTACAACAGAGAACACACGCTGCTTTAGTTTGCAGCCTATGGCAAGGTGATCACACCATCTATTTCAATAAACCAAGCAAGAATATTTCCAAAGATCCTTTAATTCCGTATCTGAGAGAAGTAATTCAAAATCCACTTAAAGACTTTAAGTGAAACTCTTTCCTCAAGTGAAAAAAAAAAATAAATCACACAGCTAAAGCTAATTTGGAAAATCTTATCAGAATACTAAAGAATGAAATAATGTAAATTTCCACTCATTTACAAATTTGAAACCAATTAAACTATTCATTTAAGATATCAAAATATGTTTCAAATGGAAATAGCAACAATACGGAGGTACCCGCTGTCACAGAGGTTTTATCTTGCTCTTTTCTGACAAACTAACAAAAGGTATGGTGGTAAATGACCTGAAAGGCCCTGATTAGAACTATTGATTTTTCTCACAGAATTTTCAGCCTGATCTCAAACTCATTTGTCACAGAATAATTGGTTATAATGAACAGCACAAGTCAATCTTTTTGACCTTGAACTCATGCACTCTCCTTAGAATCAAAATGTTGCCAATTGCAGTATTGGAATATTAATGACACCATTTAAGGAATTTTCAGCACTTTAGCCCAAATCATTCTGTAAGACTATAAAAATAAATTAAAAAGATCTGACTATTCCTATAAAAAGTGTCCAACCCTTAAAAAAATCTTAAGAATTTAAAAAATAATGTATTTGTTTAAAAACAATCATATGTATCCTTAATTATATCACAAATCCTTCTAAAAAGAACAGCAGTTAATTTAGTGAAAATTCAGCTTGTTGTTATTACAAAGTAATCCTATCCACCCTGAATAAACCTTAAGTATTGGAAATTTAACATTAAAATGTTGCTGAAGAATGAGTTTATGATCTTGTAGTCCATGCATTTAACTTATAGGATAGATTCCTCACACAGGGCTTATCTGTTAAACATTTTGTGGACAACTCCCATAGATTATCAAACTTCAAAGTATAGATCTGAAATGGCAAATATGAAGGCCAAAAAAGGCTGTTATAAAGAGCGCTCTGGTAGCTTGACATAAGATGCTGCGATGTCAACACAAAGGCATGAGAAGATGGGAAATCCTCTCCCACGTGATTGTCTCTAAAAACTTGCTACTCCAGGGTCAGCTATGACTCAGTAGTACATAACACAACCAAAAGTTGTTACACAGGCAAGAATACAGGTATAAGAAACAGTTTCAAGAAAAAAAAAACAGAAAAGCAGTAAGAAGTGAACAGCTCAAAAACCTAAGCAAGTAAGCCATTTTGCAGCAAACAGCTATAAGCATATTAGCAAGCTGTAAGGCCAGTGACCTCTGGTGAGCAAGTGTGTAAGGAGTTGTGCTTTCAACCCAAAGTTAAATGGTTCAAAACCACTAGATGCTCTGCAGAAGAAAGATAGGCAACTTCCTCTGAGCACTCTACCCACCCGAGACCCCTCGGAGGGTAAATTATGCTTAGGTTCTAATTTAGCAGCACTTAACAATAATAAAGGCACTGTTTAAAGGCTCTAGTCCACAGGGAGTTGTGCTATTAACTCACAGAGGCATGCCTCTGTGGCTTCTGGAACCCACCAGCAGGTCCTCAGGAGAATTCTGGACTGATTCCTCCTTTTTCACTTATATATAGCTTTTGAACCCCAATGGGATTGGCATTCACTTCCTAAACAACATGCCTCCAGAAACTCTATGAACTTTGATAAATATAGATTGTTACAGAAAAGCTTCAGGCCTTTTGTTCAGAGGGTCACTATGGGTCATGCTCAACTTGAAGGCAATCAACAAGAAGTCAACAAGAAAGAGTTAAAATGTCAGGAATCTAGACATAAATACTTAATAAAGATTGCCATCTAAATTGATTTGTCTTTTATAATTATCAGTTACATAAGTGTAAGACTATAAACCACATTTACTTACGCAAATAGATTTTTCTTTTAAAAAAGAAATTCTAGCTAGTCTATGAGAAAGGAAAATTAAAAGCAAATAAATTAAAGACATTCATTTACTTATAATCATTCCTTTTTCATTCTTAAATTACTCCATATTATAGGCATGTGCAAGTCCCATTTCACCCTCAAAAGCCTACACATCAACTATTCCAAAATGAAGTAACAGTCAGAAGTTATCTACTGGTATGACTAAAAGGTCCTTTTTGTCATATTATTTTGGCTACTGTTACTATAAAAGTAATGTGTATGACTTAATTTTTCTGAATACAATCAGTTTTCCCAAACAAAGAAAGCATCAATCTATATAAAATACATATATGCAGAAGCTCCGGTAGCCTAGTGGCAAGAAGCTGCACTGCAATTCCAAAGCCAAGTAATTTAAAACCACTGGCTGTTCCGTGAAAAAAGGATGGGCAATCTCCTCCCATACAATTATCTGCCTCTGAAAACCCACTGGTGGGTCAGCTATTAGTTGTTCTGACTCAACAGTACACAGCAAACAAACAACAGTTTATACAACTATATAAAAGTATTCAGAAGATTAGAGTAAAAAACTGCTTTTACAAACTGCCCCAACCCAGTTAGTAAATCTGGGTTATTTTTTCTGACATTGATTTGGAAATGAAACAGGTTACCCTTCTTCTAATAAGATCTTATTCAATATTATTCTATTATTTCTGATTTAATACTCCCCTCCAATTGATGTGGAGTTAGACAAGATTTTCAGAGAAGCCTAACAGAGGGTCAGCTATGACTTGGTTCCAAGTAATTTAGATCAGTAAATCATCCTCAACCTCATTTCAGTTGAAGTGTGACTGACTCACAGTTGATTCATGAGAGAGTGTCCAGAAGCTACAAACTACATGAGAGTATCCTTCCCATTGTTCTCTCTCTGGTGGATTCAAACCTCCAGAAAGACACAACCTCTAGGTTAGCAGCAGAACGCCTTAGGATCTAGGTCATCTGGTAAGACACTGTGCTGCAATCCCAAAAGCACATGGTTCAAATTCACCAGATACTCTATGGGAGACGTATGGACAATCTACTCCCACGCGAATAAATGCTTCTGAAAACATGGTGGAGGGTCAGCTATTAGTCGGTTCCCACTCAAGGGCACACAACAACACTTTATTAGAAAAAAATTAGTAAAAAAAAAATAATAGCAACTGATATAAGGTAAAAAGGAAGACATTCATTCTATCTAAAAAAAAATACCCCATGCCATTATTATATGTACTCTCTGAATTAACAATATTCTATAGAAAATTCATATATAAATTTAAAAAAAATCTTATATACATTTAAAATTTATATGCTTTTCTTTCTAAAATTCATTCATTTCAAATACTTACAAAATACCTACACATTTACCTCACAAGAATCAAGACTGACATCTATGCAATGAATTGGAGAAGTTCAATATGAGCAGTCAAAAAAAGACCCATCAAGTACTCGTATGTAAGTTTATATGTAAGATGAAAAAAATGAAAGTAAGTTCATGAGAACCAAAATATGACTCTGAATCTTAATTTAAAAATCATCTTAAGAACAGACTTAAGGCACTGAATACTAATGATCAAAGACAAGACTAGTTGGGAGATGACAGAGATATCATCCATGAAGGAATCAAAAGGTCATTGCAAAGACAGAGGGGGAAAAAAGGCCAAAATAAATGGCAGAACAGACTCTGAAAACTTGCACTGGAATGAAAATATGTCAAAATAAGAAGGACACCAGCAGAATTAAGAGAGCTAACAGAAGATCTCAAAGGGAAACTTGATAAGACATAGCAACATAATATAACAAAATACTTAGAGCTAGAGGTGGAAAATCAAAAGGGAAGAATATGTTTGAAATTTCTCAAGCTGGAAACTCTGAAAAAATATTTAAATCTCAAGCTACAATACTGAAAGAATCTATGTGCAAAACATTGAACAATGCAAGAAACACCTAAAGAAGATGGAATGGATACACAGTCACTACAACCAAAATAAATTGGTTCCAAACTATTTCAGGATGTAGCATATGATGAAGAACCAATGGTACTGAAGCTGCACTGAAGACAATGGCAAAAAATAACACCCTAGGAATTGATAGAATACCATTCAGGTGTTTCAGTAAAGAGATGCAGCCCTGAATATGATACCAGTCTATGCCAAAAAATTTGGAAGACCAAGTGACTGGAAGAGATCTATATTTGTTCCTATTTTAAAAAAGTGATTCAACAGAGTATGAAAATTATCAACCAATTAATTACATTAACATCACATGGAAGTAAAATCTTGCTTAACATTATTTTAAGAACAGCTTATTACATCAGCAGGGAGCTGTCAAATATTCAAGGGATATCATGGCTGATGTGAGATGGACCTTGGATAAAAGATGTTCACTTGTGTTTCATTGATTATACAAAGCTATCTGACTGTGTAGATTTTAACAAATTAGGTATAACATTGAGAAGAATGAGAAATCCATAGCATTTAAGGGTGCTCATGAGAAATCAGAAATTGTCCAAAAAGAACAAAGGGACACTGTATGGTTTAAAATAAAGAAATGTATTATACATTAGGATATATCTTTTCTCCACACTTATTCAATCTGTATTCTGAGCAAAATCTTTCAAGAAGCTGGACTATAGAAAGAATGTGGCATTAGAATTGGAGGAAAACACATCAATATCCAGTGTTTGCAGATAACATAACCTTGCTTACAGAACAAAGAAGATTTGAAACATCTGATGGAGGAAATCAAAGACTACAGACCTCAATATGGGTTACATGTCAATATCAAGAGAACAAAAACATCATGACAGATGGACTCTATCAACATCATGACAGATGGAAACAAAACTGAGGTTGTCAATGATTTGATTTTACTTAGATCCACAAGCAACATTCACAGTAGTAGAAGTCAAGAATTCAAAATTTAAAAAAAAAGAATTCAAAATACATGTTACATTTTGGAAATGTCACAAACCTCTCTGAAATGCCATGGAATTTTCATTTTCTTCCTATTCATCTATATTGGACAGTGGAGAACAATGACAGGTGAAGAATTGAGGCCTATGATTTGTGGTGTTGCAGAAGAATTCAGAATACCCCCAAAACTGACAAAAAAAAACCATACCCAAATAAGTCTGTCTTGAAGGAAATGCTACCAGAATGTTCCTCAGAGGCAAGGATGGTGAACCTGTTTCTCACACACTTGGGGCATCCAAACAGAGTGATACCCTTTGTCAGGAAGAGGCCAGTTCTCAGAAGAAAAAAAAAAGACATCATACTAAGAAAGTTACAGGTCAAGGAAAGAGGGAGACTTTCAATGAACTGGACTGACACAGTGATAACAACGGGCTTGAGCATGAGGGTGGTGCCAAGTAGAGCAAGGTTCATATCTATTGTTTATAGGGTCACTAAGAGTTGTAGTCGACTCAAAGACAACCAACAACAATTACAGCATTAATAACTCCCATGCACTAATTTCTTACCATGGCCTGGGCTTGTTTAATTCTCATTTTAAAAGGAATTTGAGAATTCTGAGTGGTGAACCACTTACCTAGCCTCCTATGGCTAACAAATAACAAGTCATTTGAAAGGCTGTATTTTTAGGAGCTCCTGTGTGGTGTAAACCATTAAATTATACTAGATATAAAGCCATGGAGCTCTGGTGGCCTAATGGTAAGGAGCTGAGCTACCAACTCCAAAGCACACAGTTCAAAGCTCTATGAGAGATGGGCAATTTCCTCCCACATGATTTACTGCTTCTAAAATCTACTGGAAGATAGCTCTGGTGGTCTAGTGGCAAGAAGCTGCACTGCAATCCCAGAGGTACGATGTTCAAATCCACCAGATGCTCTGCCGGAGAAGTAGGGGCAATCTCCTCCTGTACCAATCAGATCCAATTTGACGGTACACACACACACACAATAGTAAAATTTTTTTTTAAAAAAATCATCTACTGGAGGGTCAGTTATGGGGTCAGTTCTGATTCGACAGTATGTAACAACAACAACAAAAGCAAAACATAATGCCAGGCCAAATCTTATTTTATTGTACACAGGGTTGCTGTGAGTAAAAACTGAGTCAATGACAACAACAAAAGAATATGTTGTTTCGTTAGTAACTAAATCTTACAGATATTGTCTAATATTCGTACTCCAATTCTAAGGAAGAGTCCAGAAATGAACTATCTGTTGTACAGTATTATTAATTACACTGTTTTTTTTCTCTTGGAGACCAATGCCTTCTAAAGGTTGGTCCTAGGCATAGCTTAAATTTATATTTAACAACAGTTAATTAAAAACTTCATGACCAGTACTGCATATACAATTTCATGCCCTCATCAAAGAACAAACAAAAAAAATCAAGAGGCCAAAACCAAATCTAGGTGTAAACAAGATAATTTGAAACACATAAAACACTAACATATATATACGCTATTTATGCTTAGAATAGTTTAAAACATATCTACGTAAACATCAACTATCTGTATCTATAAAATTAACAAACCATAACTCCAAACACCTTTTTACACACCAAAAGTAATGGTGGTCTTATCTTCAAGAAGACCCAAAAAACTATAAATCTATGAATGATAGCTCTGGTAACAGAGTGTTAAGGAGATGCACTGGCAACCCAAAGTTCCTCAATTCAAATCCATCAGCTACTCCACAGAGGAAAGATGGACAATCTTCTTCCATGTGATTAATGGTTTCTGAAAACCCACTGGACAGTCAGATATGGGTTGGTTCTGACTCAACAGTACAAAATTACAGCATATATGTCAGGAATCAGCAAACTACAGCACTCAGGCCAAACGTACCCCACTACTTTCTTTGCAAATTATATTTACTTGGAACCTTGCCCAGTCACTTAAGAATTATCTGTAAGTGCTTCTGTGCTACAACAGAGACAGTCAAGGAAGAAAACAATTATTAGGAAGTCTTTTACAAAAAGTTTACTAGCTTCCAGTATGTGTGGATACTTAAATATATTAAGAACAACTGCACAAATACAGTTCTATTAGGTTGACAGAAGCCAATTTAAGATGTAGCTAAAGGGGATGGGGAGGAGAAGTAGAGGATTCTAATGAATAATTAGAGGATAAACTATTTATGAAATTCAAGTCAGTTATAAGGCTTCTTGTCTGTAACAAAGCAGTTGGACAAAAATAGAGTGTCTCACCTCTGGTTCCGTTTTTGCTTCTTCTTTAGATTGAAGCACAGGACTCACAGGCTTGACCTTCACTTCAGTCTTTCCTTGCATGTTCCTAGAACCCAACACCGATCTCGTGGGTGGCGATGTGCTGCTTAGAATAGGTTTTACTTGAGCTGCAGGTGTGGAGGAGCAACGATTGTTACTCATTTCTATGACATGTGATGGGGCTATTGGTAGTTCACGCAAGTTACTATTTCTTGGAGCAGTTGGCTGCATTTGTTGAATTGGACGTTTGGTTACATTCTGTGAAGCTGTATTCTATCATAAGAAAAAAAATTCTAATTAAAACTGGAAACTTAATTAAAAGAAGTCTAAAAAGGAAAATTGTTAAATAAAAGCAAAACTACTATACTTCTATTTTGGATAACAATTGCCATTCTAATCAGTAAATACTTTTTGCTCATACACATATTCCCTGACTGATGTAGTAGTATACTTTAAAGACTCTAGCTGGTAAATAAATCATACGATCTTCTACAGAAATTGCACCAGTATTACTTTTAGCCGGTGCTTCTAAAGATTGGCTACATTCACCATACACTACTGAGATCACTGCCATCAAGTCAGAGCTGACTCAGAGTTGATGCTAGAGCAGATTCCTGAGGGCTGTAATCCCACAGGAGGATATTTCCCATTTTCTCCTGAGGAGTTGCTGGTGAAATCAAATCTCCAGAGAGGTGCCACCTTAGATTAGCAGCACAATGTGCCACAAACTACAGCACCAGAGCTCCCCCAAAACCATGAGATTTACTAAGAGGACAGACATACTGAACAGAATTTGTTGGGTTTTTTTAATATTTTAATTATTGTGTGTGTGTGTGTACTATCAAATCAGATCTGACTAGTACAGGAAGAGATTGCCCCTCCTTTTCCAGCAGAGAATCTGGTGGCATAGTGGCAAAAAGTTGCACTGCAATCCCAGAGGTGAGCAGTTTGAACTGAACAGAATTTGTAAAAGCAACAAATGATGGTGGCAGCCAAAAAGAACCACCTGGATTAAAAGTAATGACACTTTCACTTAGTTACCAAAATTTAAGGTGGAACAAGAAAATTCCAGCATTACGTCAATGGTGTAACAAAAAGCAAGCCCTGGACATCCTCAGTCACGTTATCCTAGGAATTGTTAAAAGACCCAACAGCTAGACATTTACAGATAAATGAGCTAACAAGAGGGAAGAATTTAGCTTCAATATCATTCAAATATTTATCAAAGCTCCTAACAGATTTGGCATAATTCTAACAAAACAAAATCTAGATTACAAACTTTCTTTTCTGATATAAAACACCATTCTTCTCTATCATTTTAGTTTTAAAATTTAGTGCTACTTTAAGAAAAGAAAGAAAAAGGAGAGGGAAGAGGCAAGTATTAGAAAAACCGAGATACCAAGTGTCTGAGAAATGCGCTTAAAATTAAGGGTAAAATAGCTGAAAACACTAGTGTCTGGTAATAGAAGGCAGCCTATAAATTATTACTGGTTTACTCACTTATTTGATAAGAGTATACAAATAATCTATGCATAAAAAATAATCCATTAGGAAAGGTAGAGTGAGATCATAGTTCTAAATTATGTATCTATTAATTAATAATATCTCGGTGGTGTGAATGGTTTATGACTAACTGGTAACCTAAAAGCCTGGCAATGTGAACCTGTGCAGGAGCACCACACATAAAGGCTGGGCAATCTGCTTCCATGAAAGATTCTAGCCAAGAAAACCCTCCAGAGCAGTCCTCCATTGTAACACCCGAGTCTGAATCAACCTGATAGTAACAGGTTTCTCTGGCTGGTATCACCACAGAAAGATCTAGATATAGGAAGGGGAGATACTAAAGTATGTAATATTTAATGCATCTTTTTAAGGCACCAAAGGTGATGTTACTTATTTCTACAGGTAAGACATTTCATGCGTTTTTTTTCTTTTTCTTCCCTCAAAAGATGTTTACATTTAAAAAAAATCTTTTTAAAATGTGTGTTTAATACATGGTTGGTTGGTTGGGTTTTTTTTTTTACTGTGGTGCAATGTATATAATAAAACACTATTACTAAATCATCATCAGTGTTTCTAAATTTCTTCATCACTCTTAACAAAAACTCAGTATCCCTCAATCAAAATATTCCCAAATTCTCTGTCCCACTCACCCCTGATAATACTAATAAACTCTGATCTCTGCATACTTGCCTATTCTAGATATAGTACTATGTTTTATCAATTTAAGAACTAGAAAAAGTTCTAATTAATCTAAAGAATTCTCCTAAAGTTCTGTAACTTAAAGATACCCAAGGGAAGCAGTAAAATACAGTCTGATACTCACATGCCTTAGGCCCTGGCGTTGGGGGCATTGCATTCTACTGTTATTTGGTTGAGGCTGAGTAGTCTGCATATGAGGCCTAAACTGTGGCTGAGACATGGGCATCAGAGGTGGAGGAGGAACAGAAAGGTGGTGGTGATGCTGATGCTGCTGGGGTTGATGTGGAGGCTGGTGCTGCGGCTGATGCTGCGGTTGGTGAGGAGGCTGATGCTGGGGAGGAGGCTGATGTGGAGGCTGATGTGGTGGCTGGTGTTGGGGCTGAAGTGGGGGCTGGTGCTGATGATGCTGTGGTTGATGTTGGGGCTGCTGCTGCTGATGCTGAGGTTGTTGCTGTTGAGGCTGAGGTTGATGTGGAGGTGGCAATGGAGGATGCAATGGCCCCTTCAGGTTCAAAAGAAAGAGAAACAACAGTTTATAAATGCATATATACTAGTTATATTCCAATTCAATGATTTTCCTGAAAACATCAACACACAAAAGAAAATTTAAATGGTAATGAAATTTCATGTTAGATTTGCTTGATGAAAACATGACCTTAAATATAGTAATATTCTAAAAACTACAATCTTAAATTTCTTATCTGTCCTTAAATATTTCAACCCAGGAATTCACCCAAAGAATGTAACTAAATAAGTAATAATAAGACCTCTAGGATTTCCCTGTAGCACCATTTACTGTATACATAAAATGTAATCCCTGGAGCATTTGAAAATGATGTACTGAAAGAAAATTTATTGACAGAGTGAAAAGATATTAATGATGTATTAATGAATGGGGAGCATCAGTTATGAGAATGCATGCATGACAAAAACACTAAAAAAAATAATCAGATGGTCAAATATGAGCATTGACAGCTTATGGGTGATGGGATGTATTATTTGTTTTATACTAATCCATATTCTAACATTACTATAAAAAAGATTTATGAATAGCATTTCATTATAAAATAAAACCTATAGCCTTTTTTCTCTTACTTTAACACCCTAAATAGCAATAATAATTTCCTATTTTAGGTTAGCCATATATTCCAGGCATTTCTAAATAAGAAGGAAATTCTGGGGCATAGTCTACCCTGAGCTGCACTGCTAAATCATGTATTTTAAAACAGTAAACTCCAGAATAACATCACTACGTATTTTAATAGTAAACTTAAAAAAGAATAAATCTACTAGACGAACGATATCATAATTATTTAAATCAGTCCATGAAACATAATGCCATCAGCAGAGGGCACTCAAGTCTTTCAAATAATGAGAGAATAGAAATCATATTTTCTCTGCACAATGAAATTTATCACAAAACCTTACAAAAACATAAGAGTATTATTTCACTGGCATAAACCTTTGAATAAAACTTCCAATGATGAGCAATTAAATTCTTTTCTTAAAATTCTGATGAGTAGTATATCCTTTCAAAATTCTTAGTACTAACTTTTTTTCATTTCCTAAAACATGGTTCTTTTTCATTTCTTTTCCTGCTAGTAATAATACCAACAATGTTCTTTAATAAACTAAACATTTAAGACAAAACCATTCATTCTTTAAATAATTTCCCCAAGTGACTAGGCTTAAATAAAAATTAAAAATTCCCTTTTATTAAACCAAGGACAGAATCAAAGCTACAGGTACACTTTTCTCTTTTCACGTTTTATGCATGAAGTGTACCTGCAGGTTAGGCTGTGCATGTGTTGGTAGAAATGGCTGTCCTGGGCCAGGCAAGAAGGGTTGTCTAGGAGGAATAAAAGGCCGGGTATTTGCTGATCCTGGCTGGCTAAAGTGAAGAATCCCCACAGGGCCTGGAGGCTGAAGGTTTGGTCTTACAGGCCTTTCTCTTGGAAATCCTGGCTGCTGTCCTTGTTGATTAAATGCTGGTCCAGGCTGACTGAATGGCAAAGGGTTCTGAGTAGGAACAGGATGACTACTGTTAAGAAGTGTGGGAGGAGGTGGAGGGGGAGGGGGACTTCGCTGCTCCAGAAAAAGATGACTTGGGAACCTTGGTTCACCTGAAATTAAATAGTGATACAAGTAACGTTATTTTTCAGATTACAAAGCATATCCACTTCTAAAAAAAAAAAAAACAACAAATACACACTCAATTTTATATACTACCTTAATACGGCCCAAAGATACAGGTTATGAATGTTTGAAAACAAATTAGAAATTGGAGTTTCCCCCTCTTATTTTTAGTTTGCTTCATTAATTATATCCTAAAAATACTTTCCTCCTTCGTAAAACATTTAATTATTCAGAAACCAAGAGTATCCACTTTCAATATTTGAAGTGACTGAAAAGATAGCCACAGTATGAAAAATCAGGCATTCTTACTAGCAAATTTCTCTACACTGTAGATAAAGATCTACCTCCTAAGAAGAAAGGATCTCGATCCTGAGGAGGAGGTGGGGCTCTCCACTGATCTTGAAGAGGAAGTCGAGGGGGCTGGCTAAAGTTGTTGGGAACAGGCCCGGGTGTATGCTGTGGAAATTCAGGAGGGCCCTAAAAAAAAAATAAGAAAGCAGACTGAAAAGGTGAAATTTTCAGAAATAAATAAGTTATATGAAATATAAAATATAAAAATAGTTAACTGTGATATACACATCTCTTCACAATTCAATTTTTAATGACCTAATGTTGATAATTCCCATACTTGAAAAATAACTAAGAACATTGTCCTATGTTCAATAGATTGATATGTAGTCATTAAATATGTCTTAGTAAGAAATATAAAAT